TGCTAAATTGAATGCACTGTGCCAGTTTGTGTTGGTTAGTAAGAAAGTACCCAGTAACATAGTTGTCTTTACAAATTTGGTTACCTTTTATGAAAATTCAGTGAAATGAATAAATAATCATAGAGTTGTCCTTTATTTCCACAGTATATTAACTAAACTTAAAAAAAAGAAATACTGATTAGACGAAAATCAAAAATTGCACGAAAAAATGAAGGTTTGGTAAATTGAAATAAAACAAGTTATGTTGAAAATTTTAAAAAAATCGTGTAAAATAAATATGTTTTATTCAGCGGTCTGTTACGATCTTTTTGGTTCAGCCAAGTGTCAAACAATGAAGGAAGGTTACCATCATTTAGCATGGTTGGAGTCTATATTCTCGATGATTAAGTAACTCCTTTATATTATTACACACACACACACACACACACACACACACACACACACATATATATATATATATATATATAGATATTGTTGGCCCAAATCTTAATAAGATTTTTAAAATATTTAAAAAAATATTTTTAAATTTTTATATTTCCTTTCCTTATGTTAAATTTTGAAACTCCACTCAATTATATATTAGATAATAAGCAAATACATATATATTTTTCAACATACAACGTGTGAAAGCACGTGCGATACCCTGCCGTTGTCAGCCACCTATCAGGGAAGGTAACATAGTTTCGGTGGCTAAGGCGGTACTGCTACTCTTGGCGTCACTAGCAGTTTTTGTTACTGAACAAGGTATTGTTTTTTCAGACGTGCCAGTCTCTTGCGATTTCTTTTACAACTGCAATTGAAATTTCCAGTTTTTGTGTTAAAACTAAATGCGGTTCCTGTTGATCTTTAACCAATAAAAAACGCGCTCGTAGCGACCCTTATCAATGATGTAATATGAAAAGTAAACAAATGTGTTTCACGTTGGAAGTAGCATTGTGTTGCAAGCATGATTTTATTTAACTGTTTATTTTGGATTATTTTTTGGATCTTGACCTGATCCAACTCGATGTCAGCTGAGCTGTGGTCTGGAGACGATGTCAAGTATGCTTCATGTCCCGGGCAGTGATGACCATCTTCAAAAGATTGACCGTCCAAGGAATCCTCGGTACCCGATATCAATAGGTAGCACATAACATGTCCACGCCTTTTTCACGCAGTCACGTCGCAGCCAATTCGTAGTGGGTTTTCTTTCGCTTGTGGTCCTAATTTGAAACGCTTTGTGGTCTTTTTCACTTCACCTCTTTTTGAAGGATGTCTCATGATTTGAAACACTATGTGCTCTTTTTCATATCGCCTCTTCTTGAAGGATGTCTTATTATTTGAAACATTTTGTGTTCTTTTTTACATCGCCTCTTCTTGAAGGATGTCTCATGATTTGAAACACTATGTGCTCTTTTTCAAATCGCCTTTTTTTGAAGGATGTCTCATGATTTGAAACACTATGTGCTTCTTTTCACATCGCCTCTTCTTGAAGGATGTCTCAAGATTTGAAACACGATGTGCTCTTTTTCAAATCGCCTTTTCTTGAAGGATGTCTCATGATTTGAAACACTATGTGCTTCTTTTCACATCGCCTCTTCTTGAAGGATGTCTCAAGATTTGAAACACGATGTGCTCTTTTTCAAATCGCCTTTTCTTGAAGGATGTCTCATGATTTGAAACACTATGTGCTTCTTTTCACATCGCCTCTTCTTGAAGGATGTCTCAAGATTTGAAACACGATGTGCTTCTTTTCACATCCACTCTTGAAGGATGTCTCATGATTTGAAACACTATGTGCTCTTTTTCATATCGCCTCTTCTTGAAAGATGTCTCCTTATTTGAAACATTTTGTGTTCTTTTTTACATCGCCTCTTCTAGAAGGATGTCACATGATTTGAAACGCTTTTCCCTTTTTTCGCATCGCCTCTTCTTGAAGGATGTCTGAAATTTTTTTACACTTTTTCGCGTTGCTTTTTCTTGAAGCGTGTCACATTATTTGAAACATTTTGTACTCTTTTTCGCATCGCCTCTTCTTGAAAGGTGTCTCATGATTTGAAACGCTTTTGTACTCTTTTTCCCATCACCTCTTCTTGAACGCTGTCACAGGATTTAAACTACTTTTTACTCGTTTCGTATCGCCTCCTTCAAAGTTGATCACATTAAAAGAGAAAGAGGAAAAGAAGAACGTTTAATGACACTCTTCGTACTTTTTTTAATATTGTTTTCCTTTGAAGGTTGTCTGATTAAATATAACGGTTTCTTCTATGTTCTTTCAGTGGCACCAATATCCAAATATCCAAATATTTACTAATAACGAAGTAACAGTCTATTTATGGTAATGGCATCTTTGCGCTTCGCACACTTATTCCAACATGTTTTTCAAAATAGACTCCAAATTCTTTCAGCATTACTTTCAGATTTCTTGTCACATTCTCCTTATTTTTGTTCGCGCTGATTTAATGGCGGTTTTAGCTTCAGGCGAAGACAGAATGTTTCATCCGGTGGTTCGCAGTCGAATGGTGAATTCTGAATTTCGAGCCTATTTAGCATTGAACAATAATACACCTACATTTGAAAAAGTTCCAATTGCCGCTACTTGGATGAGGAGGCATTGTGAAATTATTGAATGTTTATTTCTCTACTCTTTATATATTGGAACAAAGGGGGAGGAGCCATGCTCGCCTACGTCTTGAAACGGCAAGTAAAAGAAGGTCAAAACATGTTCACTTTATTTCGTCGTTGTATTAAATACCATATTTCTTAAGTCAGTTTTTCTTTTTCTTTTCATGAAAATTTAATTATATAGATTATATAGTAATAATGATGAATTATATATTATTATTAATTTCAATATTTTATGCACTTCCTCTTTTTCATCATTAAATAACATATTACATCGAATTTAAATTCTTATCCTAGAAATCATCTGCGTATAACTTTGATTTATGTATATTTTTGACAGGTCAAGTCTTCCGATATTTTTTAAATCATTAATTTCCTGAGTTAATTATTTCACAGATGCACTTGCTTCGTATTTATTGAAAATTTGCTTGAATTTTGTTTTGTGCATTATTTAAGATCAAAATTTGTGTAGGAATTCTATTCACTGCACAGTGTAATAGTCAAAATGTTATTTGTTTTTGTGTATATGCTTTTGAATTTAATTGTAACAGTATTCCACAATACGTGTGCGATTGCTTCCTTATTAAAACTGACATTATCTGACAGTCGGTTTAACGGGTGATTTCACGATTTGATGAAGTTTATAATATATATATATATATATATATATATATATATATATATATATATATATATATATATATATATATATATTTCCAATTAACGACCAAGAAGGAGAGAAATTCTAATCTGTCAGTGTATTAAATAACTATTAACACTAAAGTCATTTACCAATTTTTGCCAGAAAGAAGGACTTAAGATAAACATTTTCAAAAGAAGGGTCTGTAATATAATCGATCCTTACCAAGCATCCCGAGTCCAGTCACTTTCTCACCGACGTGGCGTGGCTTTTCTTTGTTTTTCCTACAAATATTTTCATGGTAACTGCTTTGACGAGCTTTTCCTTGTTGCCTTGTACATGAATTTAAGCGTGCTACTAGATTGGCAACTAACTCTCACTGTTTTAATGTAGAACTAACTAGATTCAACCACCAGTTCTGCTCTAACAGTTTCTTTTCTTCCACTTTCCACTTGTGGAACTCCCTCCCGATTTCTTGTTTTCCCGATTACAATCTTAAATAATATAAATGCAACATCAATCGCCATTTTGTGTCTTTTTGGACTCTCTTCCTTTTTTTATCCTTTCCTCAGTCCTCGCCATCTCAGTCTTCTCTTTCACTTTCATTTTCACTTTCAGTCCATGCAAACGCTAAAAGATCTCGTGGAATTATCGTCTCGCTTGGGATTAAAAAACAAACAAAAAGAAACTATGAATTAATCTGTTTGGCTTTCAAGAAGATGATCCTTCAGTAGACCTTATAGACTGGTGCTAAAAACATTACACACATACATAGAGTTTTATCAAGTAACAAAATCCAAATCACTTAAGGAGCTCAAACGACAACAATCATTAAAATGGTTAGCCCATGTAAGTAGACGTTAAGATAATACAATCATTAGATGTTGATGGTCCACAATAACTTAATGTTATTAAGGAGAACTCCATCACTACTACAAAGAGCTAGTTCAAAGTCACTTTTAAGACTCTTGTTGTACTTCTTCCTCTATCTGTTTTTCTGTAGATTACTTGGTGCTTCTCTTTCGTTTGATATGCTTTCTATTGTTAGGCTTTTCATGAATAAGCTTTTTAGTAAGCTTGAACTAGAATTGGATTCTGTATGTTACTGATTCAACCTTGAAGGCTTTAAAGTTAGACATTTTTCCAGTTAGACTGTATTTTTCGATCGTTGCTTCTGTGTGATGTCGTTACTATTTAGGCTAGTGGCACTGGATTTAATAGGTTATGAATGACTAGTCAAACGCTAATGATATATTTAATTCATAAAAGAATTCATAAAAAAATCCATATATCCAACATACGAATCCATATAACTTTATCAACTACCAAAATGACACAGTAATGGGAAATAGTAAAATAGATGATTCAGTTTCGCTTTCTTCAGCAGGGATAGTTTGATGACAGTATAATTCTGTCATTGGGTGAATCTGTTATGCCGAATTACTGCAGGACGTGCACTTAGCGTGGTATTCATTGATTGATTCATTTTATACGGTTTAGAAACCTTTGCAGGTTTTTTAGAGCCAGAAAATTATATTTAGCTTGTAAGAATTTTTTTGGTGGGAGATATTTCTATAGTAATAAAGATCTTACTAATTAAACCATAGCTTGATGAGAGAAGAGGTGGATTCCTAGCTTTCTCAAGGATATTTGCGCCTGAGTGAATAATAAGTAACCCAACTAGAATTGGAACTCAGCGTTCCGATTTACAATTTTGAGGCATTATCCATTACACCACCCGCACTTTCAAGCTTAGAGCACCTGGTATTCTCAAGCAGTCACCCATGTAGGTACTGACCACTCTCGACGTTGCTTAATTTCGGTGATTAACGGGAACCGGTGTTTTAATGTGATGTGACCGGAAGTCACTTAGCGTAGTATTTATCGTGAAGTAAATTGGGATCAGCATGGCGAGTTGAAATCCCGAAGGAATTTGTTGCGTTCCCTTTCGTAAAATGCCCTTCGAGAGGCTGTGAATCCATTTCCTTCCTACTCATCTATGCTTTAAACAACAGACTGGGTTGTCTAGCTTTTTCTTGGCAATCAGTCTATGAGAAAGATGACTATAAATTTGGTTTGGGCATCGGGCTGACAAAACAATCGTGCTGAGGTTGTGGGTCTGTACTCCAGAAAAAATTGCTAGTATTATGGCGAGGTAGATTTTTGGTGTCTCACTACTGCAGTCTATGTGGTACGTAGGCGTACTTAATATAACTACATATCAAGCACATTGCTATGACGGTTGTTAACATTGTGAATTAGTTTAATTGGTTTAATATGATCTGATTTCATACGAAAACTAATGACCACTCATTGGTGGCTACCGTTGCGTTAATGTTGCACGGCTAAACATGATGGCATCTTTCATTATGGTAGCTTGGATAAAAGCTATTTCATCGAATACTTACCAAATGCGCACACACACACACACACACACACACACACACACACACACACACACACACACGCACCGGAAACTCCAATACGAACTTTGGAGTGTTTGCGTGTCAATCTGATGACAGTGCCGAGAATTCGGTAGCAGTTGGATGCTATATTCATTCAACATCATGGTGTTTGGTGTGATCACTAGCGATGGCGACGATATGCCTCAATTCATCTTCCTAGAGGGCCTCAGAAAATATATATAACCACAGACATTCTTTTTACAACCCAAGACTAAAAAAACCAAACTACTCTCTCACCAAAATTTTGGGAATTGAGGGAGAAAAACTTGATCCCTTAAATTGACTGGGAATTTATAGGTTTTGCTCGAACTCTAAATAACTTTAAGGGTAGATATAATTTATGTTTGGAGGAAAAAATTAAAATCATTAAATTTAAGAATCAAGATATTCTACTAAACAAAAAGAATGGATTGATACCTAAGTGTTGCCATAAAAAATTCCAACTGACATAACATTATTTGAATCTCACACTCCAAGTGTCGCTACAGGAAAAAATTTTACCTAACATAGTATCAGCCGAACAGCCCACTCATCTCTTTCATTTAAATTTCTATATGTGAATTTTTTCTATTGTGACATCTTATCTATATGTAAGTTTTTTCTATATGTGAAATTGATTTCGACATGTGGAATTTCCTCCTGTATCTAAATATTTCTCTCCTTGTTACATATACGTGGAATTTTCTTCTAAATTTAATTGTTTTAATAATACTTAATTGTTTTTTTTTATATTGAATTTAAATTTAATCCTTTACAGAATTTTGAGAAAATTAATATAAATATGATATAATTTAAATTATAAACTTAGTATTGGAAAATTTATCATTATTATATTGATATAATGAGATTAGATATATATTAAATGAAATTAATATATTAATAATTTACTTTATTTTTTTTACTGTAACTTTTACTATATATGGATTAATGGAGTGGATTAATATTAACATCTTTTTTTTAAAGTATTAATATGAAATTCTTATTCCCATTTATAATAATTTTATGCTCCTCTCTAAAATGTCAGGGTCCATTTTCAACCATCGCGTTTATATATACCCAACTCCACAACCTTAGGTCCCTTAAACCTCTTTATCTACATAATAGACCAAATCTTATTCCATCTCTTTATATTCTATCCTTTTGTTTTTTTCCTCCTTTCCTTCCAAATTTCTTGTCAAGAAACGTTTATTCATTCTTGTAAAAATATATGCATTGATAAGTCCATGGAAAAACTATCTTCCTATGGAAGAAATGATCATCTGTATGAGGTAATTCGTTTGGATATCTTTAATTGTAATTCACTTATATGCTCTATAATAAAAATTATATTGAGTTATCTTTTGTAGATCAGTTTTAATATTTTATATTAATAGGATCTACTTGGATTACTTACCCACGGATTTTTACACACACATATATATATATTAATTTAGGACATTACTTCGAAAACATAAAAATCGCTACACTATTGCAATCGTGTTTCGATGCGCATACAACGCATCTTAGCGGGCGATTGTAAATTAATGCCGAGTAAACGATTTAATGAAATAAAACAGCAAAATACAGCTTTTTTACGAAAAAGGAAAAAAGAAATGGGTGGGGTGATTATAAGTTTTTTTATAAGTTTTGTGGCCTTTGCTTAGATCAACCAATCAAATATGACCTACTTTAAATTGATATAAACAGGTCATGACCCGTAGGTTTGAAATCAATGACAGCCACAGACGTTAAAACGAGAGCGGATTTGGGTGGCTACATATTCTACAATTCTCATCTTACCTGGATATATATATATATATATATATATATATATATATATATATATATATATATATATATATATTTATCACGACAAAATCCCAAATTACTCCATGGGGGGTGGCATAGATCTATTTCAACTAACGAAAAGTAGGCTAGTCTTATTCAACCCCGTCGTACCGGAACTAGAAATTATAAATTTAACCTTGACTGCAGTCGAAAAATTGAGACAGACTTTATCCATTTCGATTTTGCATTCAGACGAAATGCTCGAGTCAGTGGTAAGGGGATCAGTTTTATCATTTGATATTACTAGGATCCACTTGGTTTATGTACCAGCGGATTTCGATGAGTTTTTTTTTCTCTACCTCTTCGATTTCAATATATAACTTCCGTTAAGTTAACCATTTAAATGTGTCAGTATCTGCTAACTCACTCATGTCTTCTCTCTCTCCCCACTCACTTCTTAACTTCGTTAATTTACATATGTTTAATACGGCCCGTCAAAAATGTGTAAATTTTCTTTTCATTTTTGTTTGGAAGTAAAGTCTGATGATCCGCAGTCCTTTAAAAAAGCTGTGGTGAAATAATTTATTACATGGAACTTTAAAGTGGTCTGTTTTTATTTAAATTATTTGCTCTGGATTTACATTGAGCTCTCTGGATTTTATCCTTAGGTTTATCCATACGGATTACCTAGTTTTTCATGAACTCTCTCTCTCTCTCTATATATATATATATATGTGTGTGTGTGTGTGTGTGTGTGTGTGTGTGTGCATGTATGTATGTATGTATGTGTGTGTGTGTGTGTGTGTATTCTTCATCTACAAATAAGTAGACATAATCTTTCCTGCTGATTTTGAGGCCTTAAATTTTCCCAGTTAAGGAGTCCCAGAGTGGCATCAATTAAATGGTATTTGGTAAGTGGAATATATTAATGCAACAAATTTTCGAAGTGAAAATTCGTTTAAGAATTTTAATTAGACCGTTTAATTTCGTTTCTATTCGACATTTAAATATTTTTGCACTCATTTTGCCCAGACTCTCTGCATGACTCAGGGGTTCATGAATTATAAATCCAAAGAATTCCCTGGATATCTGTACTGTTTCCGTCATACGTATAGCTGAAATTCAATTATCAGTCATTAACATGAGCATTTCAGGTAATAACGGACATAAAGACCCCAAAATTGTGCTATACTGTGGGTCTGGATATCGCTACTATGGAAGTTGGGGCATCATTTCTTCAGAGTTGCGTATGGGGAACCCTTGTCTCCCCATATTCGCATTGATTTCCTTTATACCTGTAGGAACAAGAATTTTATGATGGTCCAGATTTCAAATCTGAAACATCCCAAACTTTCTGTTGAAATTCAAAATAAGAAAGTTGTTCAGATTACCTACATTCCTTAGTTCCACCATTTATAACCTCCACGGCTAAGACCTGCCATGACACGCACAATGTAGCGAGTCACCCTAATTCCCTTCGTGTTCCCTTGGTGAGATGTAAGTTCCATTCGATTGGCTTTTCCTACGAACTGCTGCTTTGTGGAACTGACTCAAGAGGATGCTTCCCTGATCAATAAAATCTTAACCTGTTCAAGTCTACGGTTAACCGTTCTCTTCCCCACATATCCATATAAGCTCTGTCTCTTACTCAATAACCTTCCACCTTGAGTGGCTCCGGGCCTTGTACACGGCGAACATCATTACAAAAAAGCGAAAGAAAAAAAAGAATCCAAGAAACCTGCAAATTGGCATTTTATAGCAATAATGAGAATGCTTTCAATCAACAATGACGAAATAAATATGTAAGTTTTGAAAGTGGGTCGGACCGAGAACTTTTCAGCATACCCACATTTTCAGCAATAGTAATAGAGATATGTTGTTGATATATATTTTCTGCCCCCATCAATTACGCGCCAGAATTATGATATCGCCCATATTCACAAGCAATTGACCTGGAAATTTATACAAAAAGAAGTGAAGATTTCAGTAAATATACTGAGATGATGTAATATATATATATATATATATATATATGTGTGTGTGTGTGTGTGTGTGTGTGTGTGTGTGTGTGTGTGTCGGAAATACGTTGCCGTAAATCTCTCTTTCGTGCCAGGAAAATTTGATAGCTGCCATCTTTATCGATTGATTGAACTTATTATTCCTAAGTATCATATTTCAAGTTTTTGTTTGTTAATCGTATTTTGATTGTTTAAAGTTTTATTTTATTTTGAATAACTTTCCTTTTATACTGGCGGAAGTATACGTTCAGTTGAAATAGTTTTCTCAATGTAGGCTTCAGCAACTTCCATTCCTCGCTTTACGCCTTCTGCACACAATCGGACGTTGCAATCAGACAGACATAAATCGAGCGTCTCTTAACGATTCGCAAAATGGCCGAAAAATAAACAAATCGTTCGATTGGAAAAAAAAAGGAACCATCTGTGCCGTGGTAAGCGTGTTTCGACCGACAGCTAAACGCTTGAGTAGTGGTCCGAGCGGAAAACTGGTTTTGCAGTCACTTCCCCTGTTGGCAGATGATGTTTGTTTTCCGATGAGAGACCAATTCCGCAGTAATTCAATATATTATTGCAGAGAGGCCTTTCCCCTGTCCGTTGTGCATGATATTGCT